TCCCTCTAAAAAAAAAACCTTTCCCAAAAGTTTTTTAAGAACATCTTGTGGAAAAAAAACGAGATCTAGAAATTTGAAAAATCCTACTTTTGATATGAAAGGAAGGTTATTTGGGGAAGAACATTTAAAGTAAAAATGTTTATCTATTTATTTGTAGTAAGTTTGCTAGAGACACGAAATCTATATCTCTTAGAATAACAAATTGTTTATTAACCCTTTTAACATTAATTTTTGAACCTTAACCTGCTTTTGCCGGAGAACCAGATAATTAAGAAAAAAACAGGTTGAGAATTGAGCTCAGCTGTTACAAATTAACTGCTGAAACGGTTGATGAATCAAATGAGAGAAAAATAATACTTTGTTTTTTGCACGGTATTTTCACCCAGAAAAATAAACGTTAAGTACATAAGCGAGAAAACTCTATCAGTGAATAATATATTAATTGTTAATAATTGACATATTTACTAGTAGTTAAGTAACTATTAGATAAGTGTATTAAAACTTTTTTTAATAGACCCATTAATATTTTAATTATATAAAATAAATATATTCTTAATGATGTAAGTAGTTTAATATTTATTCAATATATTTGTGTCAACGATATTTTGCCGGAAAAATGGAGAAAATTAAATTATATACTCGTAAAATTTCTTATTTGAGAAATGTATTAAAAGCATTTTTAATTTTTTGTTAATGAAATTATTTATGTCATGAAGTGTATTTATGTACTTTTAATTCACCAAGTACACTACTTGAAATTTATTATTAAATGTATATTACCGATTTAAGTAATTATAAAAATATTTAATTAAATATTTAATAAACTAATCGACACTTAACAATACTTAATCAACTTGACGATGCAAGCTATAGCGGCAAACTGAATAAATGTTTTTAAATTACGAAAGTACTTACCGAAGAAATACGTTTATGTTTAAAATCAAAGAGTAATTTAATTAGAAAAGTATAGTATATGAAAAAATGAGCTTTTAATATACTAATTATTCCGGCAGACGGTTGAAATGCTATAGCTGTAAGCTTTATATATATATAATATAATTGTTATAAATTTCTATGTAATACAACAAATTTAAAATGAAGCAAAATAAAGCTAAATAAAAAAACAAAAATTAATTAGTTTGCGTTTTTTAAAGTAATTTAATAAAGCATATTTTTTTCTATGAAGTATAGTACTATGTTCAGACACATTTTAATTTTGCAAAAATCTTAATTTCATCTTCGATTCAGCGAAATTAAGTTGTTTTTTTCCATACAAAATTCAGTTTTGAGGTCAGAATGAAATTAAGGAAAATTACCGAAGGCTGAAATTAAGAGATATTAAAAAATCCAACTATGCTTAAGATAAATTTTAAGCAAGAGATAAAGTTAAGATAACGACAGAGTGATATTTCTTTTGGATAAATATCAATATCAATATTATGAAAGTAGTGCAAATTTTTAAGTTTGAATATAGAAAAAAAAATGTAATTGTTATTAATTTAAAAGAGAGTGAAAAATAATAATTCACATACTTGAAATTCACTAAAGCTAATAAAACAACTGAATGCCATACTTTATAGTTATAATAATCAACTTTTAAAATTTCCCAGAGTCGAATGGTTTTTGGAGCAAGTAATTTTTAACATTCGATTTGTAAACAAAAAACATATGGTTTCCTTAATTTGGGGCAGTATGAATGCCTTCGAAATTAACTTAATTTCATTTTGACGAAATTTAAAGATTTATTGTGATTTACTTTAGTTTTAGGTTAAAACTTTGAATATTGATCATTTTTATGCTTAACGACAGATGTTTTTATTTATGATAGAAAAATTGTTCGTAATGAAGAATATTGATTACAATAATTAGATGAATTTTAAGCTGACCATGCAGCTGTTTTGGACACTACTAAACATCGAACATCTGTGAACTTAGAAAATGTGAATGATTAAATTGATATGGTTTTCTATCTTATGGTACTATAACGAAAACAAAACACTTATAATGATATTAATTTAAACATATAAAACTTGCTTAATATATTATTATCCCGTTTTTATGTTCTTTGCTTAATGTAAATAAATAAGAGAAAATACTGTTTGCAATTAATGTGAAAAACATATATATATATTTTACATGGAATTATTTATTTTTTTCATTAAGATATTCATTATATAAAAAAGTATATAATTTACAACCACTACATGCAAATATACATATAAATTAAATACACAGTTGATAAGATAATAATTATACAGTTCAAAGAAATTTAAATTAATAGAGTACATGAACATTGTTAATATATTAATAAATATTTGAAATAATCTTAAGATGGATATATTAACAAATTTTAAAAATATTAAATGAATAATTATGCTAAACTAACATAATTGAGACACCGGACAACTACGTCACAACTTGAACTTTGTGCTCAGACACTTGATTAGTTTTTAATGTAAATATGAGTAAAATGTTTACTTTAGTTCGTATTTAAATTAGGATATTGTTTCAATTAACTATTATTATTTAATATTTTTTAATTTTCTTATAAATTACTTAATATATTTTTAAAACATACAAAATTAATTAATTCACCCCGACGTTGTGAAGCAACAACAAAACAAAACAAACTGGATTCAAAAACATTTCTTGAAGCAAATGGTATAATTTAGAGAGAAGAAATAATTATGAGCAAATTATACCATTCGACCAAAATTAAGGCAAACAATAATTTATTTGTTTTAAACAAGGTTACCAGAATTGTTTAAGTTTTCTTGTCGTAATAAGAATCTTAAATCTCACCTTTTGACGAAAATTTGCTTTCTTTTTGGAATTGTTTAGTAACATTTTTATTTCGCTTTACACAAAAATTAATCTGCAGGTTTCGATGGCAAAACATATTTGATTAACCACATACCACCACTTCAAAATTTTATTTCCTCAAGTCACATATTGGCAGCAGTTGAAGTATTTCTGTAAATATATTAAATTATAATTTAAATATAAATTAAAAATGTAAATTTAATTAAGTAAGTTTATTTATATTTATAAAACATTTGTTATAAGTCCAGCAAAAATTCTATCTGTAAATATTAAACTAGTCGAATCTACACATTGTAAACAGAAATATTACACAATGATAAAAAAAATTATGGGATGTTATTGGTAGAGAGTAGAATAAGACAGAAAAACTTATTTAATTCGCATCATTTTTGTTAGGTGCTAGTTACTTTACGTTTTTATTGGAGTTTTTCATGTATTTTAAACCAATGTAAAAGTTAACTACATTGAAAATCTAATCATTGCACTTAATCAGAAATGTCAATATACTACCAATAAAAAAATGTAATTGTTTTTTTAAAAAGAAAATTGATAATATTCATTGATGAGCCTAATTTGCTTCTTGGCAACGTAACACTCCACTAAGTGTTTCTAGTATCTTCCATTTCTTTATGGAACAAAAAATATTTACATGTATATATCATACTCAGGAGATAGGTATTTAACATATAGATCAAACAAACTTTCCATAGATATTCAGCACAAAGATCTTACAAACTTTGTCTTGTTTAGTTTGGCTTTCAAACAAGCAAACGACGAAAGAATGACGTTAGTAATAAACATCTCTACGTAGCCAAATTTGAGAGGTATATCCGTGATGTGCATTCAGTTGCTGCTGAACCACACTATAACTCATCAGAAATGTCAAATTTCATCGTCATTCCGCTACTATAATCCTTAAAATGTGTTAGGCTGACAGCGTTTACCAACAATAACAATGTTTAACGAAAATGTTTCTCTATTGTGTTGAAATTTAGAAGGAAATGTTCCTATATAAAATTGCAATAATGTTTATTATTACATATTTGTAAAAGAATATAGATCACTTACAATATTTACCTAAAGTTATAATAATCATCCTTTTTTTAATACATATTTCAATATCATTTCTCTGTTCCAATCTTCAAATCATGCGGTATATTTATACAATAATTTAGGCGAACATTAATTATGCATATATGAAAACTAATTATAATGCTTAAAAAACTATTCACAAGTAAATTATATCGGAAACTGAAATAACAGATGCTGAGCTGCTGTCCGAATATCTCCATATTTGTGTTTGCATTAATATGAAACCTTTCACCACATTTTAAACACTTGAACACATTCTCTGTTTAATGTTTTAATCAGCTCATTTCCGACAGTATTCAAAATAAATAAAAAAACAAATACTATATTTATTGTCCCTATTTCTCATTGTAAATAATAAAGAAAATATACATCAATTCAAAATCATACTTCACGATTTTGAATAGCAACTTATAGTAGATATTTATTTACAAACACAGAGATGTTAAATTGGATAAAAACTTGGAAAGGTTTATTTTAAGCAGATTTACAAGATTCTTCATAAATACTAGTCACAACACATTTGTGACTATTAAATATATATGTTTTTTGACATCAGACATACTATTTTCAAATGAGAAG